CATACGAATTATCACTTTTGATTTTTGAATTGCCATTTCACTGTCTTAAATGTTTTGCAACACACTTTTATGTGACCAAACATGTTGAAAACTTCTTTTGCTAAAAATAAACTTTGCGAAACTAACGGCTACCTCTGTGGAATTGTTGTTGGTGTTGTCGTAGTCCAGTCTTGTAAGAAAAGGAACTGTTACAAATTTCACATTGAGATTTAGGCTGATGCACATTTTTATGGTGTTGAAATCCCCCTTGGGAATAGAATTTCTTCCCACATTTGGGACAAATGATGACATATTCCTCGTGTGCTTGAAGATGTTTTGAATATTCGTTTCTCGTCAGCATAGTCGCATTACATAGTCGACATTCATACTTCTGCCCACCTGAAAAGCTGGTGCAACGCTTGTGTTTACAAATATCATTTTATATGCTAATTAATGAATATAATTTGAAAAATGACTGTATCAGTATTATTTATTAAACCTATCAAATCACATTTCAACTAACTTAAATTACGGATGTTCACTTTTTTACCATATCTATTTTTAAAACAAAGGACTCATTCTCATGTTGCCATTAATGGAACAATGTAGGATGAGGGATAATTCTGAATTCTTCGCTGCAACGAGATCAGATTCGGATTTGGTATTCTTTGTAGCTTATATCTTCAACTTCATCCAATTGAGTAAAAGCAAAAACTGAAGGGAATAAAGCGGCATATCATTATATAATTCATTTCTACTTGTTCCCGGTAATTATCCATTAGTTAACTGTTATATATACTTGAACTGCTATTAACTGTTATATATACTTAACCCCATTAACTGTTATATATACTTGCATCTGAGGCAATTAGTGTTAAATCCAAGTTGTCGTGGATGTTAAAGTTTCCTGAAAAACACTAATTGCCCGAATGACCTGATTGACTTAATGACTTGATGAACATCGTGATCGTTTCATGTTTTGCCGAGGTATGCCTTACGAATCTTCCGTTGGGCACAGAATAAATATTTCTTAGATATCACTTCATTGAGTCAAAGGATGTGATCAGAGATATTTCGTAACATATTTCCATGTGTATTATATCAGTTTCATAGAAATGACAAAAATTTTGTTGAATTTGCGAAACTCACGAGAAGCTTTGCAGTAACGTTCCTTGTGTCTAGCCAGTGAATTCCTGTAGTTGGAGGAAAAATCACACCTTTCGCATTTAAATTTAGGTTGATGCACTTCTTTGTGGGAAGAAAATTCTGATGAATGATTACGGAACTCTTCGCCACTACCGGGCTGCTTGCAATGACGACGGGATGATTCATTATGTTTTTGGACATGTTCTAAATGTTTGGTTTTGCCCCGTATGGTTGCATTACAGTTGATATGTGGACACTTGTATTTTTTCACATCTGAAAAATAACTGTTATCATATTTGTGTTTATATCTAATTTTTCTATTACTCAATCAGGTAAATTAATTGACCCAATTTGAAAATTGATCACGAAAATATTAAGGTCATTAAATAAACTTATCACATCCTATTTTGATTAACTTAGATCACAAGACT